TGACCCCGAGCCGGGGAGCTCCGGCGTGCTGCTGAGTCACGCGAACTAAAAGTAACAGAATCGGGCGAAAAGTGACGCCGTGAGGTGGATCTTGTCCTTCCTCTCTTCCTCCTCACCTGAGCATTCCCTCTTAGTCTTTGCCTTATCATATTGTGGATTGGCTTCATAAGTATATGCCCAATTCACTCCATCTTCTTTTCCTGATCTCCCTTTCAGTTAGCTATTGTTTGGTTATGATCTCTAGTAAAAAATCATATATCATGCATGATTCAATCCAACCAACAATCCATTCCATTACTTATAATTAGTTCTGTCAAGAACAGCCCAAATTGTTTCAAGTCACTATATCAGTCAAATAATGATATGGAGGAATAGCTTGTGGTTTTGGCATAACACATTTATGAGGATATAAGTCTGTTGCATAATTATGATTTATCAGTTACACTCATCACTGTATATACTGTCAACTTAATTTTTATAGAAAAAAAAAGATTTTAAAAACTGGGAGGCATTTTGTTTCAAACTAAGTCTGTGGAAAGCTTAGGGGGTTTTTTTATGTAGAAATGTTTATTTTCTAAGAATGTATGGTCCGTAGTAATAATTAAAAGTTGAGATCCACAATTCTTTTTCATCTTCAATCACTTTGTCGCAGCTCAACTTTATTGTCTTTATTTCTGCTGAAAGGATACAATATAATATTGTCTATTTTAGGAACTTGCTTAGGGGACCTGTCAAAGTGCATATATGGGCTTACGATTAAATTTTCCCTGGCCATCAATGAGTTCCGCAATGATATGTACATATTGTCATGCGGAGGAGACACTAAGGACACCTCTGGCTTATCCATATGGTGGAAAGGCAGCCATCTAAGAGCTCGAGTGAGAACAGAGACGAAGGAATGGAAAGTGAGTATGCTCGGACTGAAGAGATACTTGCTTTACTTTACTTTTCTGATCCAGTGGCCATCTGAGTTCAAACAGAAGAGATCAAGTTAAAGCAATGGATAATTGTATGAAAGGGGCGGATAATTGTATTTTATCATGCTCATTTCTTCAAGTCACTTAAAAACTAGATGTGTGTACATTGTGCTCATTAAAGTGAATATGCAGTCCCCCCCCCCCCCCTCCCCCGTTCAATTAAATCTCTTGTTGTAGTCATATTGTCCTTTCCCTATTCTTCAATGAACTGTTCTCTTAATGGTTTAAAAGCTTTTTTTTGCTTTCTTTCCTTCTCTCTTTTTTAATTACATTACTTTACCAACCTCTTGTTTGACTCTTACCATTTGCATTTTTTTTTTAAAGCATCCACTGACTTTTCTCCTTTTCTGAGTCCTTAGTCCTTATTTTATTTTTTCCGTGTCTTCCATTTATTTGATTTTTGCTTTGACTTTCATTCATTTTTCATCATTTTTAATTTTACAATCATGTATGTTTTCATCCCGTTTTGACTGGTCATTCAGGAAATATCTCCGTGTAAAGTGGGTAATGCCCATGATATTTTGTGTTAATTTGTATTGTAACAGAGGCTTCTCCTTTGTTTTCTTTATTTTCCAGTCAGTCAGCTCCTTCTGTCATCTTGAAGTTTATTCACATGATTTTTCAGCTTCTCAAATTTAGTTGCTTATAAGGAGATTAAAAAGCATCAAAGATACTCCTCCATTAGTGTTCAGCCTCAGTCTCGGATATGAAACTAGTGGTTTGGGGGGAGGGGGTTAAATGTTTATGAAATGTTCTCTTTTGCAATAAAAGATTAATTTCATGCTTACTTAACTTTTATATATTATGGGGGGTCTGTTCGTTACTTGCACTACACCTTGCCACGTTCAGTGTGATTTTGTTCATAACGTGATATATTTTTTTTTTTATTTGAAGAAGTTATCTTCAAAGTGCTGTCTGTGTGACTATGGGTAGCTTGTTTAAGAGAGAGTTCGGGGGGAGGGGGGGGGGGGGGGGGGCTCCCCTAAGGGGGGGGATATGGTTCCACCCTCTTTTTCGAAAAAAAATAGATGTGGGTGAACAGGGGGAAAAAAAATTTTATGAAACTTTTTTTTTCAAAAAAAAAGAAAAATTTCCGCTTTCTTTATTTTTTATATTTTAGGGGGGGTTTTTGTTTTTTCCCCCCCCCCCTCCCCCTTCCGGGGGGTTTTTTTTAAAACAAAAAAATTT